ATATAAGAATGGAAATCGTTTATGCTAGATTGCACCTTCTACAAAGAATGTAGATATGAGAAGGATCAATGTTTAAATCTTGAAACTAACATAGAAAATGAAATGTTAACAATAACTAATATTCTCCAGTTTCGGCCTCTATTTCACAACTAAAAATATTCACCTTCTATCTTACTCATCCAACAAAACAGTGTAATGATTCATGCATAGCTCTATCACACAGGCTTGAGAGAATCATCAGTGAATTAAGATGTAACTATTAAAGTCTCTACTAAAGTAACTACTAAAGTCTCAGGCAAGTGCAAATAATAGACAATTCAGCTAAAAAACCCAAGCTGTTAGCCCTTTATCTTTACTATTCATTGCTTTCTGAACCCAGCCAAAAATTGTATGTTTCCAAAAAAGGGTCTCAAACTGCAACACGTTTTAAGCAGAACCACATACCTTTTGCTGTTCTGATATGACATAGTGATGGTAGTTAAGACTTTTTGTGCTGAATGATCTCAAAGCTCAAACTACATGAATTCAATTGACACACAGTTAAGTAGCTGCAGCAGGGAAGTCTCCACAATCTAAGAACTATGGAGGTGGGTGGAAAGTTTTAATTCTATGTCTCCCTGTCAGAATCCTAACAAATATATTCTTGTCCCCAAAGTGCTATCTGCATATCAAGGGAAGCTCCCATTGGATAGCCAAATGTAATAAAACAGAGAGGAGGCCACAGTCATTTTAACAAACTAACTTCTATCCATTTAAAATGTTAAAGATTACAGCCAACACTGGAAAGCTACAGTATAGAAACAGAAGTGCTAGTTTTATGTGTTCCCAATATTCAATATCACAAAATTGAGGCTGTAATATATGCATGGTGTACTGTGATTGCTTAGGTTTATTGGAGAGGGATTATAGCAACCTTTTAAGAGAGGGAAGTGGGTTATAAATAACAGTAACAATGACAATATGATAAAGAAGAATGTAAGCCTAAGCAGATCTACACTATGAGAAATCTAAATACTTTGGCAAGTTATCAGTCTAACCCAGGGGTCCTCAAACTAAGGCCCAGGAGCCGGATGTGGCCCTTCAAGGTCATTTACCCGGCCCTCACTCAGGGTCAACCCAAGTCTGAAACAACTTGAAAGCACACAACAACAATCCTATCTCATCAGTCAAAAATAGACTCACACTTCTCATTGAAATACTAAGTTTATATTTGTTAAAATTGTTCTTCATTTTAATTATTGTATTGTTTTAAAGTGTCATTTGCACAACAAATAAGATATGTGCAATGTGCATAGGAATTCATGGGGGTTTTTTTCAAATTATAATCCGGCCCTCCAAGAGTTTGAGGGACTGTGACCTGGCCCTCTGTTTAAAAAGTTTGAGGACCCCTGGTCTAATCTAACCGAATGAACAGTTATAAATATACGCCCAAGCAGTACTGCAAGACACTTGCTACACTAATAAATGCTACTAACTACCGCAGGTAATTGGGTTGGAAATATCACCTTAAGAAAAATTACAGGGTAATCTTTGTGATGGCATTAGTGTTTCCTTGAAGATAGTCTAAAAAGGACATGCAAACTCATGTATAAATTCTTGCCATAAGTACTTATTAACTGCAAACATCTCTGCAAATAGAATTCACTCAGTGCAACACTTTCCTGTAAGTACGTTTTGCTTGTATAACATTTATCAGCTGATTTCAAGGAAACTGACTTTTTCTCTACACCAAAATTGTTAAGCTAATGCAATACAAAAGTGCAGGAAAATTCATGCAAAGCTATTTTACAGAAAGACACCTGGACTACATAAATAGATTCTTCTGCACAAGCATTTTGGACGGTGGTTTTTTTTTCCTCTGGAAAAATACAAGCAATGAACAGCAGATGGAAGAAAGAATAACGGCTAATTATTACTTCAGCAGCAGCACAATTCAGTACTATAATTGTCTTTAACAAATCTCCACAATGAAATCAATCTAATTCCTTTGCAGAATGTCTACTGTTGCCAAGGGCCAAACCTTCTACTACTTATACAGTGCCCTGGATTGGAGCCAGTGTCCTTTATTGGAGCTGGAGTGCCAGGATGCCATCTCCTGTTGAAACACTGTACCATTTCCTAGTGGATATCTTGAATCACCTTCCAAATTCAACCTGTCTCCTGCTAGCTAAAGCTTTCCACAGGCAGACGGGGAAGGAGAGAGTAAAATGCACTGTACCAATTTCTGGGTAAAATGCACTGTACCAATTTTTCACGCACAACTCACCTCCCAATCTCTCAAATATTTAAAATTATGGTAGCCTTTCTTCTTTGTCTGCTGTCTCCCTCAACCAAGTAATTCCCAATCTTTGACTCTCAGGATGTTTGGGGCTTCAGATTCCAGGATGCCTGATTGTTGGCCAAGCTGGCTGGGACTTTTGGAAGTTGGTGTCCAAAACATCTGGGGTACCAGAGGTCTGGATCCACTTTTTTAACTTAATAATGCAGATTGACAAGTTGAATATCCCTTATACAAAATGCTTGTTATCAGAAATGTTTGGGATTTCAGATTTCAGACTGTGTATATTTGCATACACATACATATATACATACAAACAATTGGGATCCAATCTTACAGATTGGACCCCAATTTAAATACAAAAAAATTATTCTCCATATATTTGATATACATAGCCTGAAGGAAACTTATATACAGTATTTTCAACTAGCAGAGTTTGTATACACTGAAAAATCAGAAAGCAAAAGTATCACAATCTTAGGGTGCACCTACACTGTAGTATCAATGCAGTTTAACATCACTTTAACAACCAATACTCAATGCTGTGGAATCATGAGTTACAGTTTCACAAGGTCTTGATCCTTCTCTACCAAAGAGTGCTGATGTGTCAGCAAACTACAGTTTCCATGATTCCATAGCACTGAGCACATACAAAATATTTTCAATAACTGCACATGAGGCACCATTTGTACACCCTGAATAACCAGAAAGCAAATGTGTCACAATCTTAGCATGTACCTACACTGTACAATGAATGTAGTTTGAGACCATTTTAAATGCTATGAATTCATGGAAGCTGGCACCACAAGATGCAGACCTAACCTTAAGAAATGGGGCTACAAAGTGGAGTCCACGACATGTGAGTGCGGAGAAGAGCAAACCACAGACCACCTACTACAATGCAACCTGAGCCCTGCACAATGGAGGACCTTCTCACAGCGACACCAGAGGCACTTCAAGTGGCCAGCTTCTGGTCAAAGGACATCTACATAATGCCAAGTTCTTTTTAAAACTTTGTGTTTTTGAATGCATTTTAACTGTACCTTCAGCTCACTTCTGACACGATAAATAAATAAAATGGGAGGTTTAGACTCCCTGGATTCTATGGCCTTGAGTCATGGCAGTTGAAGTGGTGTAGATGCATCCTCAGTCACTCAGGTGGCCAATTTTTGCGGCGCAAGTCAATTCCAGATAAGGGATGTTCAACCAAATGCCCCATTCCCTCATCAGAAGGCCCCGTGCGAAGGAGAAAGCAGCAGCTGCACTCAAACCTGGCATCTGACCTGGATCCAGACCTCTTTAGCCAGATATCACCTGGAAAATACTGTGTCTAGTTCTGGGCATCACAATTCAATAAGGATACTGACCAGGTAGAACAGGTATGGGCAAATTTGGGCCCTCCAGGTGTTTTGGACTTCAACTCCCACAATTCCTAACAGCCTCAGGCCCTTTCCTTTTCCCCCTCAGCCGCTTAAGCGGCTGAGGGGGAAAAGGAAGGGGCCTGAGGCTATTAGGAATTATGGGAGTTGAAGTCCAAAACACCTGGAGGGCCCATATTTGCCCATACCTGAGGTAGAAGGTGTCCAGAGAAGGGCGACCAGAAACACCAAAGGTTTGGAAGCCAAGCCCTTTGAAGAGGGAGCCAGGTAGCTTTAGCTTGAGAAGGTTAAGAGGAGACATGAGAAACAGGTCTAAATACCTGAAAAGCTGTCACATTGAAGAGGGGGCGGGCTTGTTTCTAGCTGCTCAGAGACATGGATTCAAATTGCAGGAAAGGAGATTAGGAAGAATGTATTGTCGAAGGCTTTCATGGCTGGAGTCACTGGGTTGTTGTAGGTTTTTCAGGCTGCATACTTTTACTTTTAATGTTTTGAGTGTTTGCTATCATTAGATCTAGTAGTAAACATGTTCTAAATGGTTGATTTATATATTTAAATATCTAAGTTTGTTATTTTTGAGTTGTTTTATAAGTACAACTGATATTGTTTATTTTATTGTTTATGATTTGATTTGTTTGTTATGTTATGCCGGCATTGAATGTTTGCCAATTTTCTGAGTCCCCCCGGGGAGATAGGGCAGTATAGAAATAAATTTTATTATTATTATTATTATTATTATTATTATTATTATTATGGCCATGTTCCAGAAGCATTCTCTCCTGACGTTTCGCCTGCATCTATGGCAGGCATCCTCAAAGGTTGTGAGGTCTGTTGGGAACTATGAAAATTGGGTTTATAGATCTGTGGAAATTTTCCTAGTTTCCAACAGACTACACAACCTCTGAGGATGCCTGCCATAGATGCAGGCGAAACGTCAGGAGAGAATGCTTCTAGAACATGGCCATACAGCCCGAAAAACCTACAACAACCCAGATTAGGAAGAACTAGCGCAGTTCGGCAGTGCCACGGAGAGCGGTGGAATCTCAGAGGCAGGATGGCCATCTGTGGGGTGTGCTTTGCTTGTGCGTTTCTGCATGGGAGGCCCTTGAGGTCTCTTCGAAGCCTAGGGTCCTGCAAGAGGCGACGCTCCTGGCACCTGCTGGGGCTGCTATGGCAGGGAGAGCCTCAGATCACGCCGCTCTTCCTCCTCCAGCCTTCCGAGGGCGGCCTTTGAAGGGCCCCCTCCGCGCCCTCTGCTCCCTCAGCCAAGGCGGCCTTCCCTTCCTTTCCTGGCTCCGTGCATCCGCCCACCCGCTTCCCCGCCGTCCTCCCCGGCCGCTTACCGCAAACCTGCCCTGCCCGGCCGGGGGGCGCTGCTGCTGGGTCCCCCCAGGCCGGCTCCTGCACTTCCCTCGCCCGCTCCCGACGGTTCGAATCAACAACAAGATGGCGGCGCCGGGAAGGTGGGCATTCCGCCGTCATAGCAACCATATTGCGCGAGGTCCTCCTCTTCAGAGCAACCCCCAATCGCGTCCTGAGACAGGCCCCGCTTTCGATTCCGCCTCGTTTCTATTGGGCAGCGTGGTTGTCGCTCTTCCAGGCTCGTCACGCCCCTTTCGGCTGGAACCCCGCCTTTAGTTTTCCGACGCACGCTGCGGAAACGTGACGCAAGCAACCTGTTGTGGCGGCGGTTGTCGATTGGCTACCGAGTCACGCACCGCCAGCCAATCACGGAAGGCTTTCACTGTTAAAGCTCTACCTCCCCCTTGAGGCCGGTCTAGGAAGAGCCGACCTCTGATCCTTCGGAGGAAAGTGGTCCTGGGGTTATCTCCCTTCAGCTTGATCCCTGCTGCCACTAGAATACTTCGCATTCCGCCTTTATCTCTGAGCAGGCTCTTCTTCTACAGGGCCTGTCCTTATCCAGGCTGCCCTCTGACCTGGCGTGGGCTGCCTGTTTGTGCACAGATTTGGCTTATCTTTGCTCCTCTCCTGACCCCATCAGGAATCACCTGCATCTCTCCAAATAAAGAAAAGGCAGTGTGCTTCCTCTTAGGACATTAACCTGCCTGGATCCCCCTTTAGACACTTGTGGTTCCATTCAAGTCTGAATTGATTATCTGGAGCCACTGTGGTGTGATGGTCTGCAATTATTTTTGGAGGCTTTAAAGCAGAGGCTGGATGGCCATCTGTCGGGGGTTGTTCTGTCGCCACTGGGCCTGTACACAATGTCTTTATTCTATAGGACGCACACTTTAAACCCAATGGGAAGCCGGGGTGCCCGAAGAGAGATTGTTAGAGACTTCCAGAAGTAATGGGCTTTAGAGTTCTTTAAAGTACAACAAAGTCTTTATTAAGGAACAAATCTTCAAACAACACTTCAAAGCTTTACTATTCTAGTCTTTAAGAGACTGAAACTGTCTTGGTTTAACTGTACTATTTCAGCATAAGGAAGAATTCTTTATAATCCCTCCCAGGCCGCTTTCTATCTATGCCTAGTCGGCATTGGTGCTGCTACCGAAATCCATGTGCGTCTGGGTATCGAGCAGACCTTACCGACTGAGGCTTGAAGATATAGCAGCTGGAATTCCGTGGTTCTACGATGCTGTCTAGTGGGAATTTTCCCCCTGGTGGTGTGAGGCTGAGAGGCTGTGAGCTCTCAGCCAGAGCCTTTGGGACCTTTTCCTTCCGTTTCCCTGGAACTGGATAGTCAGTTTGGACCCCGGATGGTCTTGAGGAATGAAGCCTTTCCTACGGGACAAACTGATTTGCGTCCTATAGGCTGGCTTCCTTGTGTGACTGACTAAAATGGTTCCTCTCTCTTACCAAAACCCAGGAAAAGGGGCGGAACCAATGCTAAATGAAGATGGACAGGGGGCTTGCCCTATGACTGCAAACTATAACAGGAAGCCACCCTGCTGCAAAATCCCAAGCCCGGGATTGCAAACAAACCTTTAGTTCAAAGCAAATAAAATTGGAGCTCCTGGAACAGCTGTTCCAGAACAGGGGTGCTTTGAATGTGATTTTCTTGCTTCTTGGCAGGAGGTTGGATGGAATGGCCCACAAGGTCTCTTCTACATCTATGATTCTATGACAGGGGTCCTCAAACTTTTTAAACAGAGGGCCAAGTCACAGTCCCTTAAACTGTTGGAGGGCCGGATTATAATTTGAACAAAATGTGAATGACATGAGCCGCCCTGAGTCCCCTTGGGGAGATGGTGACGGGGTATAAATAATAATAATAATAATAATAATAATAATAATAATAATAATAACAACTTTATTTATACCCCACTACTATCTCCCCAAGGGACTCGGTGCGGCTTACATGAGGCCGAGCCCACAATACATCAATGATAAAAACAATAACAACAGTAATACGAACAATAAAATAAAACTCATAACAAAAAATAAGCAATAAACATTGACAGTAACACAACAACGTTTAAAAACCTATGGCTGCGCCAAACGTAATAATTAAAATTTGCTGAGCATGAACAGGTGAAATATGACTAGGATAGAGTTTTCAGAGAGGGATGGGGCGTGCAGACAATCCTAGATCATTAATAAAGTGCATAAATAAATAAATAAATAAAGTTTTATTATTATTGTTATTAATGAGATCCTATGCACACTGCACATATTTTATTTGTATTGCAATAAAATTAAAACAATACAATAATTGAAATGAAGAACAATTTTAACAAATATAAACTTATTAGTATTTCAATGGAAGTGTGGGCCTGCTTTTGGCTGATGAGATAGGATTGTTGTTGTGTGCTTTCAAGTCATTTCAGACTTAGGTTGACCCTAAGCAAGGGCTGGGTAAATGACCTTGGAGGGCTGTATCCAACCCCCGGGCCTTTGTTTGAGGACCCCTGTTCTATGATTAGGATTCTGTGAGCATCCATACTGTGGAATCAATGCAGTTTTACACCACTTTAACTGCTGTGGAACCATGGGAGTTGTAGTTTTATCAGATCTTTAGCATTCTCTGCTAAAGAGTGTTGGTGCCTGCCAAAATTACAGAGCCCAGGATTCCACAGCATTTAACAATGGCAGTTAAAGTGGTATCAGCCTTCATTAATCCCATTCTGTAGATGCATCTTCTGAGGGATCATGGCCCGATTCTCTGCTCAAAGGCCATTGGGTGACTCTGGGTAAGTCAGTTTCACTCAGCTTCAAAAGGAGGCAAAGCATCCACCCCACACAAAAACTGGCATGTGGCGAAAGGTGCATGGGTTACACTTATCTATCTAGGTTTTAAAAGGTGCAGGTACAAGTAATGGGACAAATAAGCCTCATGTATTATAAAGCCAATATGGTGTAGTGATTTAAGTGTGCTGGACTATGACTCTGAAATGACTTGAAGCATACAACAATAAAAAATATTACATTATTGGTAATTGATTAGCGTGTAAATCAATGCGCTGAAATGTAGTCATGGCACTCGCTCCCCAGTGAAATTAGGTCAACTGCCTCCCTCCTTTCCTTCAGGAAAATGTTGTAAATGTGGCTATGGGACCAGGCGTTTGAATAGCAGGCTGATAAATGATGACAATACTATGGAAAATGGACTATGGACAGGCTTCGGATGAAGTTGCTGATCGTAGAACTCAGATTTAGATTTGGCCAACCAATTCAATTTGCACTATTTTAAAATGGTTTTTAATTTAAATTAATGTTTTACCTATTTTGTAACTTGTTTTAACTGTTTGTATATGGGGGGCATCGAATTGTTGCCGGCTGTGAGCCGCCCTGAGTCCCCCTTCGAGGGTAGAGAAGGGCAGAGTACAAATATTTGAAATAAATAAATAAATGACACATTTCCTTGAATGGCCCCAAGATGCTCTGGCACAAGCCAATAAAGGTGGTTCCAATGGTGATTGGCACACTAGGTGAAATGTCTAAAGACCTTGGCCTGCACTTAAAAACAATCAACACTGACAAAATTACCATCTGTCAGTTGCAAATGCCACCCTACTCGGATCTGCACGCATGGGTAGTATCCGACATGTGATCAAATACAAAAGCCAGCATATTTATTTATTTATTTACCATATTTATAAACCGCCTTCCTCAGCCCGAAGGAGGCTCGTATTGATATTTTTTGCTGTGTACTAATCTTGTTATGTATCACATAATAATATTAATAATAATATCAATTGAGGTGAAAGCCAGAATACACTAATGCAGTTTTATTGCTGTTCTGTATATCTTATCAAATGAGGCTTAGGAGACACTGATCTCTGGTTCAGATGGTGACAAGAGAGAAACTAAATGCTTCCTAAAATTTATACAAAATTTGTATGTGGTTATACTCTCCCCTCCTCCCACCCAGAGGCAGCCCTAGGTAATTTTCAAAGGTAAGCAGACAGTATTTTGCCCCCACCCCCCACCCCAAACCAATTACTGATATATATTTTCTGTTCGTCGTGGGAGTTCTGTATGCCATATTTGGTTTAATTCCATCATTGGTGGAGTTCAGAATGCTCTTTGATTGTAGGTGAACTATACATCCCAGTAATTACAACTCGCATATGTCAAGGTCTATTTTACCCCAAGAGCGCCTCAAGAGCGCCCCTGGACAAAATCAACTATACTGCAAATGCTTACATTGCGTAATGGTTGAGACGCCCCTGCTCCCACCCCTCCCAATTTCGTGACTTCCCATCCCTTGGCTTAGAGATAGCCATTTATAATTTAGTTCTTCCTTCATATTACATTGTTTTTCTATTCTTCCTTCTGGTCTGATTTTCAGTATTTATAAATTCCCTACACCGATTCTAACAGGTGAAATTATGAAGCCTTCTAAAACACTTTTCTTTCTTTCCTTCTTTTTTTTTTACAGAGTTTCGAAATGGTTCCCAGTCCTTGATAAAGTCTATATGTTTTTTCTCTTTGTTCATCATCGCTAATTTGTTCAATTTCTGCTGTTTTAAAGACTTTAACCATCCACTCTTCTGTTGGTGGGAGCTCTGCCTTTTTCCAGAATTGTACATATACTGTTCTTGCGGCTATGATCATGTATTGCAACATTCACACTTGCCTCAGGCAGGAAAGAGTTCTTTCTCCCACTCTGGACATCATTCCACAGATATATAAACCTCACTTGTCTAGTTTCCCCCAGTAAAAATAATTTGGCCTCAAATTGTATCTTTTATTGAAAAATTTCCTGCAGTGTCTTTTGTGCCTTGCCCCAGAATTCTCTTGCTTTTTTACCGGACCACTATATGTGGAAGAAAGTTCCTTCCTGTTCTTTACATTTCCATCACTTGTTGTTTCTTCCCTTACACATTTTGGCTAGTTTTGCTCGGGTCAGGCACCATCTGTTCATCATTTTATAAAAATGTTCTCTAAGATCGTAGCACTGAATTTTCTTTAAGCCAATAGACCACATTTTTTCCCATTTATTGAATTTTATTTATTTATTTTGTTGTGTCAGGAGCGACTTGAGAAACTGCAAGCCACTTCTGGTGTGAGAGAATTGGCCGTCTGCAAGGACGTTGCCTAGGGGATACCTGGATGTTTTGATGTGTTATCATCCTCGTGGGAGGCTTCTCTCATGTCCCTGCATGAGGAGCTGGAGCTGATAGAGTAAGCTCATCCGCGCTCTTCCCGGATTCGAACCTGCAACCTGTCAGTCTTCAATCCTGCTGGCACAAGGGTTTAACTCACTACGCCACCGGGGGCTCCAAATTTTATTTTAAAAAATTGGTACATTTTTCCCTTTTGTTAGATTCTGCATCACTGTGCATTCTGGTGTTCAGCTGGAATTGTGACTGCTAATTCTGCAATCTGCCATCATCTACTGAGAGGTAGATCAACATATTGATATGGCAAGAGCCAGATATTCATCTGATGGAAATCTTTTCCTCTTCAAAAGCTGTATATGATAGTAAGCTTTCTGGTCAGCTGGAGATCGTGTACTTGGCAACACTGGAGAAGGACGGCGAAAACAGAATGGGGAGACCAAACCATGCCAGTTGGCCTTCACTCAGCAGATTTTGAACTCTTGTTTCTTGTCCCATTGCTCTGGTCTTAATGTGAGAGAGAAGTGTGTGGTTCTGCATAGCTAATGGGAAAACAAAGGGACTTTTTGAAACTAACAGGGACTAAAAGTTCCTCTGTGAGCTCTTGTTTCCCTGCACCAGATCTCATTTCTCAGTTATTCTCCTATACAGTCAGAGACTGTGTCAGTGGCTATAATAGCTGTGGGATTCAGAGAGTTGTGATTTATAAAAAATATTTCTAAGCTCAGCTGTGGTTCATACTGCTTCTCTCACTTTTTCCCATCTAAGAGACTTGCAATTGCTTAAAATGCTATAAAAACACACCAATAAAAGATCCTGAAACTATAATATTGCTGCAACCTAGCAGTTAGAAAACATGCAAATGTGAGTAGATCAATAGGTACAACTTCTGCGGGAAGCTAACAGTGCTCTATGCAATCATGCTGGCCACATGACTTTGGAGGTGTCTATGGACAATGCCAGCTCTTCAGCCTAGAAATGGAAATGAGCACTACCCCCCAGAGTCAGACACGATATGACTTAATGTCAGGGGAAACCTTTGCCTTCTATTGAAGTGATTTTTTTTTAGTTAATTAACAAAATCACTATTTTACTTTACATTGGAATACTGAAAACACTTTCACAGTCCAAATATTGCGCATGAATTTAATACATTATTTTATTTTATTTTTCAGTTAGTTGCCCCCAAAGGGCATTTACGCATTAAAGTTTGTTTTGTTCTCCAGCACCAAAGAGTGGAGACAGCAATTTCATAGCAAAATGCTTGACAAGAAATCATCAGAAAAGATAAAGTAGCACGATGTTGCCACTTGAATATATTTACCACATTAGGGTGAGGGGGGAAATGGTCATTTAGATATTAATTCCAGGAAGTACTACAGTGTTGGCTTCGACTACTGGGGACTCTTTGCTAAGAGGCCCTCCACCTCATCACTGTGAATGAAGAGCTTCTCCCATTGGACCTAATGCACACAAGCACCAAGAAGAACAACAGAAGGCAAAGGCAGGATACTGTTCCAGTGTCTCATATTTTCACTCATTGCCTTCTCAGACAGGGTAAGGGAGCAGGCAGTGGCAGCAAGGAAGAAGAGCAACGGGGCAAGTGGGTGGTAGGCAAATACCAGAAATTAGCCTCTGCCAAGTATGAAAGTTTATGGCAGAGAATCCAGGAAGCTAAACACAATAGTAGACAAGATTTTTGTCTGTTCATGGTCACACAGCTGTCATACCTTCAAAGCATAGATTGATATGTGTATAAAGCAATACTAAACACACAAAAAGTATCTAAATATACTAAAAACACCAGATTCTGTCTGATATTGAAAGCTAAGCAGGAGCAGCCCTGGTTAGTACTTGCATGGGAGACTGTCAATGAATACCAGGTGTTGCAGGCAATGTTTCAGAAGAATGGACTGGGAAAACTACCTCTAATTATTCCTTATTGAAGAAACTCCTGTGACATTAATGGGACCACTATAGGTTTATGCATTGGAGGGATTCCACAGTTGGTAGGAAAGGAGGTTGATGGGAAAGACCCAAGGGGAATTCTTATTTTTCACAACTTATATAACTTCCGTCTTTGATGTCTGAGGTTTTGTTTCAGAGAAAAGCATTCTATGTATAATCAAGACACTTGTTATGGAAATATTGTAAATAAAAACAATGTCCTGCCTATGTTTCAAAATATGCTCCCAACACAAGTGTCATAATAGTACAATATCCCTTTATTAAATGTCCACACAGCCATTCAAAAACAGTAGTCTGGAGCATTGTTTGATGCTATGTTTTAATATTAGTGAAATCACAACAAAATTAGAGGGGTTGAAAATGCAACAATAATATTAAAAGTATGATAATATCAGTATCTCTAAACAGCTAATGCTAAAGCAAAGAAGTATATACATGGTACTTCATTGGAAAGGACCAAAAGAAGAACTTAACAGACTGAAGAAATGTATGATATATGCACACATGTTTTACACTGCCATATAAAATCTAGATTATCTGCTTTGAACTGGCAGTGTAGATTGTAGAATATGGCAGTGTAGATTGTAGAATTGCTAGTTTCTGTCTCAAGATAAATAGTAGGTACAAATTATGTAAATACATTTGTTCAGCAAATTTGCTCTTTATCTTGGTTCCTTGCCATGTCTGTATGCATGCACTCTCCAGTCCTTCGGATGAAACAAAACATGCTCATACCCAGCGACGTGCTCCAGTGCTGCTGTCGAACAGGTAATATTGGCCTGTCACTAGAAACAAAATCCAAGGGAAAGTGTTACCCATAGTCCAGTCCCTAATTTTAACCTTCAGAGGTGCATCCACACTGTAGAATTAATGCAGATTGACACTAATTTAACTGTCATAGCTAAATGTGATGGAATTGTAGGAATTGTAGTTTTTCAAGGTTTTGCGCCTTTTCTGCCAGAGTTCTGGTGCTGTCCCAATTACAAGTCCCATGCTTCCATAGTATTCAGCCATGACAGTTAAAGTAGTCTCAAACTGCATTAATTCTGCAATGATGATGCACCTTTCAGCATCTATCTACCATCAACTGCACTAAAGATCCATGATTCAAATAGGTAAGAGCTCATTTTGCAGCAGTAAAATTAAGCACACATGCCTAGCTCTAACCATGGATAAATGGTGCTTGCTGTACCAAGATGTTTCACTGCAGGTCAAGAGCATCTGCATCAGAAAGTACAACATGGCTGTTTGAAACATCCATCTAGGCCAGGTCAGTTTGTTACTCTATACAGCTTGGCAGCTAGATGTATAGACAGGGATCCCAGAATTAGGTTGTTGTAGGTATTTCAGACTAAATGGCCATGTTCTAGAAGCATTCTCTCCTGACGTTTCACCTGCATCTTATGGCAAGCATCCTCAGAGGCCGTGAGGTCTGTTAGATCTAGGAAAATTGGGTTTATATATCTCAGAATTGCTGTAAACTTTGCTACAATCATGGAGACTCATGAGGCCTGTGGCATCTCGTACAACAGAGAAATTCTGGAGGCCCCTGCTAAGATTCATGCCAGAAGTGCAGTTTCTCAAGTCACTCCTGACACGATTTTTAAAAAAAATTGCAGTCTCCAGATCTAGGCTTACAGCCCAAGAGCCATTGCAGCCAGAAGATATCTAAAGAAGGTGACAATGTCATTCACCTATCATGGCCCATGGAGATAGTTGTCTTCTGTGAAGAAGATCTACTTTGTTTATTTATTTACGACATTTATATGCTGCCCTGCTCACCCCGAAGGGGACTCAGAGCGGCTTACAAGTAATATGTAAATACAATATATTATATTATTACCATAGCACAATATTATATATTACTATATTGTACTATAACATTATACTGTAATATTATTAGCAATATTACATGTAATATAAAATATGTAATTATAATATATTATTATTAGTATTATATTGTATTACATTATAATATCAATATTATATGTATATACAATATATTATATTATATTATATTATTAGCACAGTGCAGGAGACAAGGTGGAACTGTCTTCCTGGCCCATCTCTTGACTCTGATACCAGAGCAGCAGTTGGTGCTAGCGGGAGGGGCTGCCAACGAATGACATATAGCTATACATATGATGGGTTTGCTGCTTGCTCTGACAGGAGCACATTCCAAGGTGATAGAAAATACACTTCTCAGCCTCCTTCTAGTGACTACAGTTTTACCTGAAAGAATGACATTGATGTGAAAGAGCAGATTTGGAAGGAGGAAACAATTTGTCTTCCACTTGTTGCATTGATTGATTGGTTGAACAACTAGGCTTTCTCCTCGTACCTTGAGATTGCTTTCAAAAACATAAAGAACAAAACAGAGATTGAACTCACCAGGGTCTTGAGCGCGGCCATCAAACTGGAGTGGCCATGAGGGAGGCAAGAAAGGAGAAGAAGAAAAAAGAGGAAAGATTAACTTCTACTACAACTGTCACACATCAACATTAACTGACTACTGTAACGAAATGGACCTATATCACCTTATGCAGCCCTTTGAAATTTTTCATCCTTCTGGATCCTACTATATCCCATCCTACTCCTACAAAAGTGTAAATATGCTTTATTTTTGTGGTCTCTATCCTACTTGGTACGGCATATAAAGAAGTGCTATACATCCGTGAAAGCTCATGTGAAAATTAAAAGCGGGCAGCCTTAATGGTACTGCCTCATTTATTTTTTCCCCTTTTCCATACTTCCTTTCCCCGTCTTTTCCTTCCTCTATTCCACTAATCTACCAAGAGAGGGCACTCCAGTTATCAGAGTGGGAAGAATGAAATAAAAGTGGTGGAAATGCTTTTTTTAAATATACATTAATTTCAGTTTTTTCTTCTGCTTCATTATATTGTGAGTTGTGTGCCCCACCACACACTTTATGTATTTATTGTTACTTGTTATATTGTCACTTACTTATATTACACTATGTAACATGATTTTATGTTCCCGAGTTATGTCATTTCCTAATTGGTTCTGCCATAAAAACATGGAAAAAGTTTTGTTCATTCGTTCAGTCGTTTCCGACTCTTCGTGACCTCATGGACCAGCTCATGCCAGAGCTCCCTGTTGGCCTTCACCACCCCCAGCTCCTTCAAGGTCAGTCCAGTCACTTCAAGGATGCCATCCATCCATCTTGCCCTTGGTCGGCCCCTCTTCCTTTTTCCTTCCATTTTCCCCAGCATAATTGTCTTCTCTAAGCTTTCCTTTCTTCTCATGATGTGGCTAAAGTACTTCATCTTTGCCTCTACTATCCTTACCTCCAGTGAGCAGTCAGGCTTTACTTCCTGAAGTATGGACTGGTTGGACCTTCTCACGGTCCAAGGCACTCTCAGAACTTTCCTCCAACACCACAGTTCAAAACCATCTATCTTCCTTCGCTCAGCCTTCCCTAAGGTCCAGCTCTCACATCTGTAGGTGACTATGGGGAATACCATTACTTTAACTATGCGGATCTTTGTTTATTAAAGTTTATTAAACTGCAAAAACTTTGTTTTTGCGGGACATCCTGCAGCATATTTTGCTAGTTTTTCAAAGCATATCTCATAGAGTCTCAACCAATTCAACATAGTTTGTGAGAGCCACAAAAATGAATTTTCTGGAGTATAGCAAGTACTTTCAAAGTAAGTACCGCACAATTAAAGAAGAAGCAACACTTTCAAACCAGGAACAGAAAAAAAATTCAAATTTTGTTACGAAGTGTAATTGTTTGCTGATATGTTATTTTACACAGTGGAACATTGAGATCTGCTCTGGTTTGGTTCCAGGACCACCCGTGGATACCAAAATCTGGGGATGTTCATGTCCTGTTACATACAGTGGGATAGTAAAATATTGTCTTTTATATAAAATGGCAAAATCAAGGTTTGTTTCTTAGAATTTTGTTTTGAATATTTTCCAAGCCATGGATGGTTGAATCTGTGGACCAACCCTGCATTGTTTTGTCTATCCCTTTTTGCTCCTGTTGGTGGTCCTCTTGTTTTGGGGAAAGTTTTACCATGCCGTTCCATTAAACAGGGACCCTATAAATTGTGGCTCTCTCTTGACTGCAAGACATGCAAGATCATGACACACAAGGACAGAATCATCTCAAGGCCTACTATCACTGAATGGACATCCTGTTTAGTAGAAGCTAAACAGCATCTAGATAGAAAAGAATTCAAAGCACACATGCCATACCAGACCCAGCACCTCATTGGCTCCTTTCCCTTTCCCTTTGTCTGGCTCTTCTGCCATGATGTAATTTCTTTCCAGCCCTTTGGCCCTGTAGAATGTGAGAGATGAATCTATCAGCATTTTTGTGGATGTCTATCAGCGCCTCAATGGCAGACGAAGTGTTCACTTTGGACCCGTCACCTGTGGCCATGCTGGCTGGGAGATTCTGGGACTTGTTGCCCAAATATATTTTTTTCAAGCTCTGGCCCAGATGTTCTATACCAAGAATAACTCATTACAAGCTGTTCCTCCCAAGAAATAAGCATCTCATGATTTCCTGGCCAATAGTAAGGGCCAATGATAAATGGGAATTGTAATCAAAAACGTCTGCAGGAACATTTCCCTATGCATGTAACAGCCCATGAGAAACTTCTTAGCTTATTGCTTTACCTTCAGTTTTCTCTAGCTCTGCCTCAAGAAACCCAAGACCCATGAAGAGATACAAGGAGAATGAACACTTTCCCATAATGCATAGAACTATGTGATAAACACAGGAGTTCTTACTTATTCTGAAGTAATGGTTGGGACATCATTCCTGGTGCCTTCCTGAAATCCAAACAACATTAAAAGTGTGAGCTTTGACATTTCCTCATAACCACCCATAGAAGTGTAATGTGGAACAAGGTACGATCTATATAAATAAAAATCGAATGTTTGTTTGTGGGATTAACATAATTGAAAAACCACAGGATGAATTGACACGAAATTTGGACACAATACACCTATCAGGCCAACGAGTGACCACCACTCATAAAAACTCTGAAAAACATAACAGAAGGGATTGAAAAGGCCAAAAAAGCAAAAAGATGCTACAGCGCATGCGCAAAAACAACTCCCCCTGGCAAACAAAACACACAATAGCATATCCAACTCTCTTCCAGACTACAGCTCCCAGCATCCCCTAGACCAGGCCCTTTAGAAGAGGAGGATGATCCAAATGCACTTCTTCCCCTTGGATTTCTTTGAGAGCATCCCAATCCCTGCATATTTCTAAAGTCCTATTCCTGGACTGCAACTCCCAGCAATCCTCCAGATAGATAGATTAGATAGAGATAGAGTAGATAGGTAGATCGATCAGGAGGACTGCTGGGAGTTGTAGTCCAATAATAGGTAGAGAAAGAAGAAAAGGGAGAAAGAGGAAGGGAAAGAAAAAGGGGGGAGAAGAAAGAGAAGAGGAAGAGAAGGAGAGAATGAAAGAAACAAAGGAAAGGAAGGAAGGAAAGAATGAGGGAGGGAGGGAAGGAAAGAGAGAAAGAAAAGAGGAGAGAAAGAGGGAGGGAAGCAACACGTGGTAGGTACAGCTAGTACTGTATACATTTTTCAAAGCAATGGAAAGATTGCAACTGCAAAGGCTTAAGACCTTTAGAGTACCGAAGACAATTATGGAGCATCTTGTATGAAAGTAGATTAACTTCTTTCTTGTTAAGGATTGCTCATCTTTCCCTGTAGCTGACTCCCTTTCCAGAATGTATCATGGAAATAGCACTACCAGTGACCAAAATCTGAGGCAGCAGTTCACATCAAAGAAAGAACATACACAGAAGCCTAGATGGAAACTCACCTCCAGCAGAGCCTCCAGAACAACAAACCCAAGACAGAAAGGAGAAGGACTCCAGTGAGAGTAATAACCACCACAAACCAGGGATCTGGTGCCCAGTATTCATTGGTTTTGTGCAAAATGATGGGTTTTTTGGGCACTGTCTGGAAATACAAAAATGAAAGTATAGTATCCAGAACTACAAAACCTACTGAGAGGTCCAAATTAGCAGGATCATATTCCTTTTGAAATCTAAGTGCGTGTCATGAAGAAGGTACTGTTCTGCCACCAACGTCACCGGGTGACAAAATCAACATTCATAACAGATACATTTCATAGCCTGGGTGTTATTAGAGGCATATATAAAAGATGCATGGAAAGGAGATGATGAACTTGCTGAAGGAAGGTTGGAGGTTTAAATCCGGGGAGTGGGATGAGCTCCTGCTGTTAGCCCTAGCTTCTGCCAACCTTGCAGTTCAAAAACATGCAAATGTGAAATATGAGTAGATCACTAGGTACCGCTTCTGCGAGAAGGTAATGGTACTCCATGCAGTCATGCTGACCACATGACCTTGGCGGTGTCTATGGACAATGCCGGCTCCTCGGCTTAGAAAATGAGCTCCACCCCCCAGAGTCGGGCACAACTAAACTTAATGTCAGGGGAAATCGTTACCTTTACCTTACATGGAAAAGGTATAGACATTCCAGGGATTCAGCTCAATTCTGTGAGATTTCTTATTACAGTATGTCTGCATCTGATCGCTTACCGTAGTAGTGGTGGTAGTAGTAGGCACAGTTGTGGTCCAGGGGATCACATGAACAAGAATGATGGCTGTGGTGCTGAACCGAGGTGTGCTGCGACTGTCTGTCACTTCTACAAGAAGCTTAAAAGTGAGGGGATCAAAAATACCATCACGGTTGTAAGAAAAGGTATTAGGGAACAGCCTGTCACCCTCCATGCGAAAACGTCCATTTATGTTGCCTGCAATAACAGAACCAATAAAAGAAGTCATAGAATCATGGAATCCTTGAGTTGGAAGAAACCTGTGGGCCATCCACTCCAACCCCTGCCAAAAAGAGGGAAAATTACATTCAAAACATCCCTGACAGATGGCCATCCAGCCTCTGTTTAAATGTCTCCAAAGAAGGAGCTTCCACCACACTCTGGGGCAGAGACTTCCACTGCTGAACAGCTCTCACAGACAGTAAGTTCTTCCTAATGTTCAGGTGGAAACTCACTTCCTTCAGTCTGAAGCCATTGTTCCGTGTCCTAGTCTCCAGGGCAGCAGAAAACAAGCCTGCTCCCTTCTCCCTATGACTTCCTCTCACATATTTATCCATGGTCATCATCATGTCTCCTCTCAGCCTTCTCTTCTTCAGGCTAAACATGCCCAGCTCTTTAAGCTGCTCCTCATAAGGCTTGTTCTCCAGACCCTTGATCCTTTGGACATCTTCCAGCTTAGAGTCAACATCTCCCTTCAATTGTGGTGCCCAGAATTGGACACAGTATTCCAGGTGTGGTCTGACCAAGGCAGAATAGAGGGGTAGCATGACTTCCCTGGATCTAGACTCTAGACACTAGACTCCTATTTATGTAGGCCAAAATCCCATTGGCTTTTTCTGCCACCGCAAGACATTGTTGGCTCATGTTTAACTTGTTGTCCACAAGGACTCCAATATCTTTTTCACATGTACTGCTGTATAACTGCTTATCACTATCCTGCAACCTTTATTAATTTTATACCAGTCTAACTTGTCATAACCTCTCCAAAAGGGTCCTGGGAGTTGTAGCTTGTGAGGGTGAAAGGAATACAGTTGAAGATTCCTAGTCTGTGTTTCATTCATCTGATTCTCAGGGTTTCCTGAGGAGAAGCAGTGATGAGCAGACCCACTTATGTGATTTGTGAAGATATGCTCCAAGTCTGTCATGACAGGCAGAACTGACAGCCATCCCTTCCACACACAGGCGAGCCTTTTCATGTTTTCTTGCTATTTCCCTTCTGACTTGACCACCATTGGGGTCACTTTTCCAGATTATACCATCACCATGCATCCCAAGCTTGCTAAAAACCTTACAAGCCAGGATGCAAAAGCCACTGTTCTTGCCTCTACTTCAGTTTAAATCTGAACCCAAATACCTTCCCTTATCCATTCCATACCACCAACAATGTTGTAGTTCAGTTCACTTGTCACATCGCGGTCACTGCAAGCCAGCTGCATGATGCTTAAGGTTTGGGCCTGGGTGGAATATATGGGCTTTTCGTAGAATGATGGATTACAGACAGGTGGGTTGTCATTCACATCCTGGGGGAAAAGAAGAGGTCCATGTTTCTCAGCATGCTTACACAATGTCCCTGGGATGGACTATTTTCTAAAACTCTCTTCTCCTACTTGCAATCAGCATGACATCCCAAAAAGGAATATTTCATGCAGGAATTCCTTCAGGCATTGGGCTTTTCATTTTGCCTGATGTGGAATATTAATTATTATCAGACCTTTTTATCATTTACGATGCTCTGCATATGGTGAACAAGAACCAAAGGATGGCATTGAACAAGATGCTTGCAGAAGCTGCTTTCCGCCTGGGGCAATGGGTAAATAAATAGAGATTACTTTTTGTACCTGGCAATTCATCTGGTATCAGATGATATTCAACTCTGAGCCAATGAAGAGAGAACTGAATGTGTTTCTGTCAATGTCGAACAGACTACATTTTAAAGATCACAATGTGTAGAATCCCCCAATCAGAATCACGGCTCAGGAGTTGTATTCAAAAAGGATAACTAAAGCAAAATCTTGTTGATACAGAGAGCTTCAAAAAAGTTGTTTGCTCGATTTTTCCTATAATTATTATTGGCATCAATTCATTACTACTGGAACAAAAGAAAGCTTCCCCATTGAGGGAAGCAGCAGCTTCATAATATGCGAAGCAGTTGTCCCCATCCCCCGTTTCCCACCCAAGCACAAGCACACGCGCACACACACACAGCATTCATCTACAATGTGGTATGGATTACAATATGTAAAATGATTTTTGTGCCTGGGTTATAAATGTCATTTCCTAATTGGTTCTCTCATAAAAAACACTGCTATAATTTTTCAATGATTATCTCATAGATTCTCAACCAACTCAACATTGTGTGTGGCAGCCACAAAAACAAAGTTTCTGGAGTATAACAACTACTTTTAAAGTAAGTACTGCACAATTTATTATTTATTTACCATATTTATACCCCGCTCTTTCCAACCCCGAAGGGGACTCAGAGCAGCTTTACACATAGACTACTATTCAATGCCTTAAATACAGCATACAATTAAAATAAATATTTAAATTAAGATTAAAAATAATACACAACAAAACAGTTAAAAACATTACATCCATTATTAAAACCATGCCATCCACAATTGTAATCCAGGACCATGCCAAAAGTCATTGCACATATTCCATATCCTTCTGTTGCACTTCTCTGAAGGCTTAGCCCCAAAGTGACGTTTTCACTCTCTTTCTGAAAGCCAGGAGGGAGGGGGCCAATCTAATGTCACTGGAGAGGGAGGGAGGGAGTTCCATAGCTGAGGGGCCACCACTGATAAGGCCCTGTCTCTCATCCCCACCAGTTGAGCCTGCGAAGGAGGCGGGACCAAGAGCAGGGTCTACCCTGATGATCTTGATCTCTGAGGTGGTTCACAGAGGGAGATATATTCAGAAGGTAAACTGGGCCAGAACCATTAAACAGGAAATAACACTTTCAACCCAGAAACATTTTTTTTCAAATTTTGATATATAGTGTTATGAAACCCTACAGTTACTTCCAATTAAAAAAATATGTGGAGCATTAAACATATATAAAGCTATATGTAGCTAGTTCTTTTGTTGTGAGCAACTATAATGTAGGTATCAGAGTCTCACACCAGCTATTTTTTGTAAACCATAGAATAGAATAGAATAGAATAGAATAGAATAGAATAGAATAGCGAGGATCACAATGCTGGGGATCAAATGTTGTCTTGATTTGTAAGTTGTGGGAAGACCTAATGAAGGTTTACAGTACAGTTGGCCCTCCACATTAGAGGGCCTTCATTTACAGTACAGTACAGTGATTTAAATGTTTTCTCTAGGATGTCCTCCAGTGCAACTCTACAGTCAACTTCTTCTGGTTGAACTATAGGACCTAGAAATTACTATAGATAACACCTCTCTAGGAATCTATAGGTCCTCCACTGCAATTCTATGATCAGCTTCCAGAAAAAGGTGACCAAAGTCGTGCTGAAGAACCTAGAAATTCTGAGATGTAAAAGCAAATAGTAGCTTCTTTATTCACAGATTTTCACTTCCACAGGAATTCTGTGCCCCCAACTCCACTGAATGTGGAGGCCTGGCAGCACTTTGTCCTGCTCCATCCTAGATCCAACCCTAGCAAAGCTCTCCCTTTTTGTTTCAACCAGATCAGGTCTCAGGTCTTCCATAAATGGCCTGGTTTATCCCCTCCCAATCCGGCACTTTCCTAATGTGTTGCAGTACAACATGAAGGGCCTTAAGTTGTGAGAGACTGGCAAAGGGTGTTATGTGCACTGATTGCTTTCAAAGCAATACACTAGCCATACCCTCCCAACCTGTATTCCAGTTACCTGTACATTAATGGTGATGTTGCACAGCGTGGAACGTGGGCCTTCTGCTCCATTATCTATGTCTTTTAGGCTAATTGCCAGGCGATATGCCTTCACCTTTTCATAGTCCAATGGGCCCAGAACATGCAGCAGCCCTGTGACACATACCCAACATGGAGACTCTGTTCATCATGTTTACAAGTAACAACCATTCCTAACCATTGAAAACTGCATTTAATCATTTGCGCTGTCATCCACCCTTCAAACTCTTTGATGTGAATGTGGTGCAGTAATTAAAAGGGGTTGGTCTTGAATATGTACTGCAGAGGACTAGAGGGCAATGTGTTGCACTACTTGTGCCGTATTCTCTCAGGAAATGTATTCGGAGCCTCCTAAGTGAGGGGAATCAAAACAGCATCCAAGCCTGGATGCATGAGAGGAAAGATATTTCATCTTAAGCCTAAATAAATAAATAAATAAATAAATAAATAAGGCTTTATTTATATCCCGCCCCCTCTCCCCAAAGGGACTCAGCAAGTGAGGCTAGTGAGCCAAACATAAAGGATATCTTTAGCAACAGGTAAGAAACCTGCAGGGCTGGTAGCTATGGGAATAATAATAATAATAATAATAATAATAATAATAATAATAATAATACACTTTCTTTATAACCCGCCACCATCTCCCCAGAGGGGATTCGGGACGGCTAACATGAGGCCAAGCCCAAAATAATACAACACATTTAAAACACAAAAACAAAAAAAATACATCATAACACAAATATGAAATAACACATGAAATGAACAATATGAAATAATATAAAATCAGACACAGAGGGAGGGCAAATGAATGAGGTAAAAAAGTTAAAACCCTGGGCGAGATAGGGATAAAAGTGAATTTATAAGAGAGGAGCCCGACAAGGAGGAGCAATGGGATTTGGCCTTTATAGGAGAAAGGGAAGGTGCTTTATTCTGAGGGCAGCTGTAGTTGAAAACAGTTAGATGGGTTGAGTGGTTACTCTCCGAAGGCACATCGGAAGAACCAAGTTTTTAGATCTTTCTTAAAAGAAGACCATGTCTGTCTCCATGCAGAGGTCCTACATAAATACTCTTTCTTACCTGTGCGCCGCCCAATGTAGAACATAGGAGAAGATCCAGCTTCTTCCCCCAGGATGTTGTACTCAATGTTATTGAAAGGATAGTCTTGGTCAATGCCACTGGCATTTCCAAAGATGTCCCCAAAGCCAGCATCCTCTCGTACACTAAAAGACCGTTGTAAGCACTGTGGGCTGTACTCATTCACTGGGCTTACTGTCACAAGCACAGGCACCCGGGCTGTAATGCACATGGAAACAAATCCAAGAAGTATGGGGGATAGAGCTTCAGTGGCTAGAAAATGGCCAGCGATGGAGCAGCTATCCTAAAGACAGTCACAAACAACAGGTAATCACAGAATCATAGTTGGAAGAGACCACAAGGGCCATCAAGTTCAAACTGTAATACAGATTGCAGGTTTGGTGATATCCCCTGGATAGAAATCCATTGAGAACAGAAATTTCTACTGTGTAGGAATGAATGAAATTAGCTCATGAACATTCAGTTTGTACAGATTAGGAAAATCCCCACAAATCCTAACAGTTCTCTCTCTCTCTCTCTCTCTCTCTCTCTCTCTCACACACACACACACACACACACACATTTACTGCTACTATTTTATCAGGCTCTCAACAGGTTCCCCCTTTCAAATCCATTGCTATTTGCAATGTGAACTAACTATCCCTTTGAGGGTCTTTGCTGGGCTTTTTCTGTTTGATCTCCTGTTTGTTTATTTTTATTTTTTGGCACAAATTGCATGCAGTTGCTGCTTGTTCACAGCAAATTTGCTTAGTAACAGACTCCATTAATGTGCGGCCTGTGGGGCATGTTCTAAGGCCAAATTAGTCTCAGCCAAAAACTGCTCTTTTGATTGCTTCATTTGATATTAGTAAACAGCCTTTAAACTTCCTCTGCCAGGAATCATCAGTACTCGACTAATTGGGTCTCCTGTGAAAAATAATCCAGACTTTGTTTTTTCTTCTCAGTGCTACTGACAATAAGTATGATCCCTTGGCAATTAGCCATGATGAATATAAGTATAAGTGGTGTGTAAATTTTCTCCAGTCTTTTCAGATTGATTCTTGCTTCTAAAAATTATATTTTACTCTATTCCAGTCTTCTGAAATTTGGCACAAACATTCAATTATCCCTAGCCAGCACAGTCATTTGGCTGGTTCAATATATCTGGAAGGCAACAAGTTGAAGAAGGCTGTGCTATAGAAAAACGAATTGTTGAAATCAACCAAATTTAACATCACTGAACTTAGATTACACTCTTGGTTTTCAATATTAATGGTCAATGGCTTGCCATTCTCAATATCCCCTACAAGGATGAGGGATGTATGTCTTTCCAGAAGTTGTTGGTCTCCAACTCCCTTTAGATATAGCCATCGCAGCCAGTTATGAAGGATGATGGGAGCTGCAATCCAACAGCATCTAGAGGACCATACATTTCCTTTCTTGGCTTGACAGAAATCAAGTTCATCATTGAGCGATTGCTTGATGTGTTTGCAAATCAGTCATTATGGAATGGGGTTGGAACGCTAAAATGTCATACCTAAAGGCCTCTTTTTACATAATATTTTCTACTGGAATGCAATTAAGATGAAATCCTTGGAGACAGGAGAAAAATCTATGACAAGGATTAGTCACTGTCTCATTGTCTGGTTTTCTTTCTGGCAAGAGCTGGCAAACCAACACCCACCATCATGCCGTGTCTTTTCAGGTTTGTGGAGAAGTGGGATGTGAGTTCCAGTTTAGCCCAAATACATTCTCTCTGTGACCAAAAATGGGGAGATTCAAGACTGTGTGTACTATAGAATCCCACTACTACACTGAACAAATGGAATTTAGTCCTGGACTTATAGAAACAGCATTTCAGGGCTCTCGATTTTCTTTCTTGCCTTTTTAAAAAACAGACTATAAAGATAGGTTTGGAAGTGTTTAGTAGATCGGAATGTAGACAAAATTGGATTGGCAGCAGGCATGGTATGAGTCTTTACATAGCTTCTTGCATGATACATTAGAAACCAAGCCTTGTGAGGAATAACTTAGGCAGCGGAGTATGTTTAACCTGAAGAAGAGTTAAACATATCAGCCATCTTTAAATGGTTGAAGAGATCTCACATGGAAGATGGAGCAAGCTTGTTTTTTGCTGCTTCAGAGACTAGAACATGAACCAAAGGATTCATATTACAAGAAAAGAGATTCCACCAAAAACATTATGAAGAATTTCTTCACTGATAATTAAATGAACTTCTATGGAGAATGTTGGCCTCTTCTTGGAAGCCTTTAGACAGAAGCTGGTTGGGATTCTTTCAGAGCTGCTTGAGTCATGCATTCTTACATGATGGGGTTGGACTAGATCAGTGGTTTCCAACGTGTGGTCCATGGACTGCCAGTGGTTCACAAGAACTAAAATATGGTCCTCGGCCTCACGATTGCTACACCATTGCAACGAGAGAGCCTGGCCTCGCAAAACCCTCTTATAGTGCCGAGGCTTATTAAATATGATTTTCTGTGGGCGAGCAGATGGCAACTACTGGATGGCATATGTTCTGTATCAGAAACTAGAGCTGATGTGGTCTATCCAATGCAATTTTCTGAATCAGCACTCCAAATAACCAAACCAAATCTAAAGTTGACCAAAAACTGATTCATAACCCTTTTGGTTTTATGTTGGAGAGTGGTCCCTGGTCAAAGTGGTCCATGGTCAAAAAAAGGTTGGTAACCACTGGACTAGACGGTCCTCGTTCTCCCTTCCAACTCAAGTCTCTAGGGAGGCTGCCAGATGAGGTTTTTAGAATGTAATCGTATCTCTGAGGAACTTTCTGATGGATTCAATGTCACCTTCCAATTGTAGCCCATCCATTTTTGCCACTGTTTCTACCATTTTTGTACCCATTTTTTTTTAAAAAAAAGAAAGGATAAAATAGTGGAAAAATATTTAAGGCTGTATAGAAGCTGCCTTGGTTCACAAAAGCCAAAATGAAACTATAAAAGAGAAGAAGTTGGGAGGCAAAGCCAAATAGGTACACAAGAAAGGTATACAGAAAATAGGTGAGCTTCTGCTATAATACTAAAACCCAATTTCTCATGAAATATATGGAAAATAGGTTCTCAAATTGTATCAGTACCTAATATATTTCAAGAACTATCCTCTTGATCAGAGTTAAAATTAATGCAGATAAGTAATCTTTAGAAATGTGAAGCTTGGATTGTCAACAATCTTCCTGTAGAATTTTCACATCAAAGAAGCACAGAACATACATAGCCTTGCTTGTCATTTAGCTCTGGTTCTCAGCATGTTTTCCCCAAACTCTAGTCCTAGTAGTAATTTGTCCATCAATGCAGACAGCAGAGACACTAAATAAATATACCTCTACCAGACAAGTTCAGAGAGCTATTTCTGAAGCCTGGACACTACCAATGGGGGAGGTCACTTCTTCCTTTCATCACAACAAGCCAATCCTTTAGAGCCCAAGATCTCTTGTGTTCAGTGTCAAGAAAAAGCAAAGTCCAAATAGTAATTAGACAGGTTAGAAGTATTACTCACTAGTTCGTGGGGGGCTTCCACTGTCTGATACCAGAATGGCAGCTCGGTACTGGAAAGCAAGACTAGCCATAACTTCTGAATCGTAATCCAAAGTGGTATTCACCTACCAAGACCCAAGTAGAGAATTGTCAAGACTCTGTAGCCATTGATCCACAGGCATTTAGTTGAGTGATACAGAGAGAATCTAATTAGAATTATACTCTGTCTGGAGAGAGGGAAGGCTCCTCGTAGTGGAAGTCAAGTTCCCTCATCTTTCCTGGGACTGAATGAGAATTTAGTGCTTCCATGATGGGCAGACTTCATTGAACTCTGCAATAACTGCTGGATAGGTTGATAACAATGAACTTGGGCCCCAGGCTTTACTTATCATTTCTCCTTCTTCCTAACTTAAAAGAAAGAAGAAAGTGATCCAGTCCAAGAGTTTACCAGAAGATTTGGTCCCTCCATTCTGAAGCTATAGCGAGGGCTTTGTGCATCTTCCATTTGGTAGTGAAGGGTACTATTGCCATTCTCCCGATCGCTACAAGATAGAATCTGTAGAGGGCTTCCAATGGAGTATGTCTCTGGAATTTCAGTCCTGAGGATTAAACAAAATAGTCATTGGGAATGGAGGAAACAGAGGAAAAGAATTGAGACCTGAATAGAGAACCCATGTGCTCTTATCCCTTGCCCATTCCACTGCTTCTCAGGCATGACAACATTGTTTTAGGCCAGTAGTTGTCAACCTGTGGGTCCCCAGATGTTTTGGTCTCTAACTCCCAGAAATCCTAACAGCTGGTAAACTGGCTGGGATTTCTGGGACTTGTAGGCCAAAACACCTGGGAATCCACAGGTTGAGAACCACTGTTCTAGGCTTTATAGTAGGGCTAGTCATATTCAAGTGCCTTCGGACAGCAGGTTGCTGCAAGGTCCTCTTGTCTGTGAAGACTTACACAAACACTGCAGGAGAACACAGAGGTCCTTCAAGATTCTGCTCTTTTACAGTAATGTTGACCATGATCGTGGCAAAGTCACTTGGATGAAGCTTGTTGTAGGCCTTCACCAACAGCTGAGTTTCAGCTAAGCCTGGATTGCGTTTCAAATCCAAGTTGTACGTGTTCATGATCATGCCTGTATCTGTATGCAACCAAAAGAAGTGGAGGTAGTTCAAAGAGGTAGTTCAAAGACACTTGTCTCTGACCACCACGGCTATACTAGACCTTTTTGGTGTGGATTCTCCTTACCTGGAATAATGGTAAAATAGTTTGTGTCTGGGGAGATGATCTGATACAGCAAATTTTCCACATTTTCTGCATTGGCTTGGACCTGTATAATTTTCTGGAGTGGCCCTGAGTTTTCCAAAATGGTTTTTGCTACTGAAGATTCCCTGCATCAAGAAGCATCAAGAATCCCTGCATTAACAATATATATCTCCTTTTGGGCTTGGAACTTACTTTTGCTGAATTTTGAGGTGTGTGCATAGAGATGACATTGAAGGTCCAGAGGGAGAAATAAAAACAACCATGAGGGAATAGGATGAAACAAGACAGGTTTGGTGGGGGTAGGAAATGTGTGGGCTCCCAAAGTCCTAATCTGTGGCCTGACTCAAACTCTACCAGACTAAAAAATGTTCATACAATTTAGGTGGTTGCTTGTAAAAAGAGTAATTTCAGACTTGCCACGAAAGCTGCAGCATCTCTATAACACAGGATGCTGTAAATCACAGATCAAAGGTAGTCAGACATGATCTGAGATTTGTGCCATGGCATTCTTTGCTTTTGTTATAGAGGGTTCTGGTGCACACCTTCCCTATTGTGCCTTGCTCCTGACTGGGTGACAGGACAACTCAGACCAGTCCCATCTCCTTATAGCCCAGACTCCAGATCTCTGGATTTTGAGCCCAACAGCCATGATGTCTTCCCCTTTCCCCAGTTCACTCAGCATCACCCAACTCACGTGAAATTGACTTGGTTATGGTAAACAGGCAGGACCTGGACTGACAGAGGGATTTGACAGCTGATACCATCAGTGCTTGTTGTCACAATTACCATTGAGAATATCTGCAGGGGAGGATAGCATGCTATGAGTTCATCACCCACAGGGACAGGTCCAGTCTAAAGTAAAATTTAAGCATTTTGTTGGATCCATGAGTCCTAATATTCTAAAAATATGGCACATTTTGATGTGCAGGAGGTCTTCATCCTGGAGCAATAACAAAGTCCCCAAGATCATTCAAAACTGAAGACAGCACTGTTTGTCTGTACCTACATCTATTATATCAGTATCTTTATCGGCTCACACACCATGCATAACAGGACACAGACAAAATTGTACTGATAAAATATATTATTATTATTATTATTATTATTATTATTATCTTAATTTATATTCCGCCATCATCTCCTAAAAGGGACTCGGGATGTCTTACAAAAGCACGTATTAGTGCTGTAAGCATACAAGTACAATAAAATACATAGGCATATACAAAACAACAACAGTGTCATTAATATAAAACAAATATGCATAAAAGCAGTATATAAAAAACCCTACTAATTTAAATAAAATACTCAATAAAATGCAGCAATAGCTGTGGGTTAAAATGAGCCATATCAGTTTCAGTCACATTAAAGTACTGGAGTCAAAACAATTCACTTGATAATGAAGGTAATGAAGCTCACTGGGTAACCTTAGAGAAGTTATACTCTCTCAGCCTCAGAGGAGGGCAAAGGCTCTTTTCATAGAATCATAGAGTTGGAAGAGACCTCAAGGGCCATCCAGTCCAACCCCCTGCCAAGAATCACTTTCAAAGCACCCCCGACAGATGGCCATCTATCCTGTTTAAAAGCCTCCAAAAAAGGAGCTTCCCCCACACTCCAGGGCAGACAGTTCCACTGCTGAACAGTTCTCACAGTTAGGAAGTTCTTCATCATGTTTAGGTGGAAACTCCTTTCCTATAGTTTGAAGCCATTGTTCCATGTCCTAGTCTTCAGAGCAACAGAAAACAAGTTTGCTCCCTCCTCCCTATGACTTCCCCTCACGTATTTATCCATGGCCCTCGTCATGTCTGTCAGCCTTCTCTTCTGCAAGCTAAACATGCCCAGCTCTTTAAGATGCTCCTCATAGGGCTTGTTCTCCAGATCCTTGATCATTTTAGTCACCCTCCTCTGGACACATTCCAGCTTGTTAATATCTCCCTTAAATGGCAGTGCCCAGAACTGGACAGAGTATTCCCGGTGTGGCCTGACCAAGGCAGAATAGAGGGGCAGCATGACTTCCCTGGATCTAGACACTAGACTCCTATTGATGCAGGCCAAAATCCCATTGGCTTTTTTAGCTGCCGCATCATATTGTTGGCTCATATTTAACTTGTTCTCCACAAGGACTCCAAGATCTTTTGCACACATACTGCTCTCGAGCCAGGCATCCCCCATTCTGTATCTTTGCATTTCATTTTTTCTGCCTAGATTTTGAACAAATCTTGCCAAGAAAATCCTGCAGGACCTACACATGGGCAGGCACATTATGCACAATAATTTGCTTGCCTGTCAGAGCTCCATATGAGCAAACAAATCGTTGTTCACAGTTTTTTTTTCCCCTGAAGCTCCTGCAGGATTTGATATAGGTCATACTGTAGGGGCAATTATGTTCTTGGAATGGAGCAGCATGACCAAAAGACATGACGAGGAGACAATTCCAAGCAGAGAGGAGAAACAGCACGTACCTTGCCAGCTTGCTCACGACTAAAGCCTGCAGCGGGTGCACGCACCCCTTCACGACTCATTTGGAAAGGTAGAGAAGAATTCTCAAATGCATACTGTGAGGAGAAGATAAAGTCACCTGGGCAAGTTATGAAACAGGCTACTCCACCCTCCAGAACCTGTTCCCTCTTTCCTCCCACCCAAGACACACCGGTAGAAGCCATCTTCCATTTTTCAAGTCACCTTCCAATAGTCCATTACAGCACCAAGATCCCCCCTCCACTCCCGAGACAGCCTCCACCTTTTCATGACTTTCTTTTTGTGTAAAGACAAATCCTCCTGTAAACATGTTGTCTGATTATCTCCACAAGCACAAAGCTTACATTCAAGGTACTTGTGCCTGTCCTCTTCAGTACAGGTGTGTAGATCAATGTTCCAGGAGTAATATCCTCAGGAACTTGTAACAGATCTGCAATAATAAGGCAGATGGAAATAGCAGACAGAWTTCTGTATAGTGAGAATGTTATTCTTTGACACCACTAGAGCCAGTGAAGGGGGGGGGGGGGGRGGKGGCCTGCTTCTTTGCATTTTGAGAGCCTGTGCAATTCCATAATTGYCAGACATGTCCACCTTCTGCAAAGACAGCAGTCCCTTTCATATTGTGTAATCACAGCATTAGGAACACACTTTAATATCCATGGCTGTTACCTTGAAATTCTGGAATTTGTTGTCCGGTGAGACATGGGAGGAGCCCTTTTGGCAGTCAATTCAAAATAGCTTGCCTTTAATTGCAAACACCAGGATTTCACAGGATAATACCTTGGCAGTTAAAGTGCCATAGTTGGGTAGTGTGGAAGAGACTGGTTTCTGCCTGTGTCACACAGAATGCCAGAAACACAGCTTAATGGTGTAACATTAGAAAATGTTGACGATTTCCGCTACCTTGGCAGTCACCTCTCCACAAAAGTCAACATTGACACTGAAATACAACACCACCTGAGTTCTGGGAGTGCAGCATTTTTCCGAATGAAGCACAGACTGTTTGAGGACCAGAACATCTGGAGGGATACCAAGGTGCTTGTTTATAAAGCTATTGTCCTCCCAACTTTGCTATATGTCTGTGAAATGTGGACTATCTACAGACGTCACATGCAACTCCTGGAACAATTCCATCAGCATTGCCAAGGAAAAATCCTGCAAATCTCTTGGGAAGACAGGCAGACAAATGTCAGTGTGCTGGAAGAAGCAAAGACCACCAGCATTGAAGCCATGGTCCCCCGCCATCAACTCTGCTGGATCGGTCACGTTGTCCGAATGCCCAATCACCATCTCCCAAAGCAGTTGCTCTACTCCGAACTCAAGAATGGAAAACAGAATGTTGGAGGACAGGAAAAAAGATTTAAAGATGGGCTCAAAGCCAACGTTAAAAACTTTGGCATAGACACCGAGAACTGGGAAGCCCTGGCCCTTGAGCACTCTAGCTGGAGATCAGCTGTGACCAGCAGTGCTGTAGAATTTGAAGAGTCATGAAAGGAGGGCAAAAGAGAGAAACATGTCAAGAGGAAGACGCGTCAAGTCAATCCTGACCGGGACTGCCTTCCACCTGGAAATCGATGTCCTCACTGCGGGAGAACATGCAGGTTAATAATAGGGCTCCACAGTCACCTACGTACCCACTGCCAAGGCACCGCTCTTGGAGGACAATCTTACTTGGACAATGAGGGATCACCTAAGTATGTAAGCATGCGGAATCTGCTTTTCAGTAACTGATCAACCGCACTCACTGAGCAGATCCATATTAATATTTTGTCCAAGGCCGAAGTTATGGCTTTTAGGCTGAGCATCTCAGGTAAATCTAAAATAAGCAGCCTTACCTATGTCAGCAGGGGGAGTGTTGCACTCCAATTTCTTTGCTGGAGTGACTTTGATAAACAGCGTAGATACATCTGATTCTGTTCCACACTCTGCACTGTATGTCAAGACATACTGATTCACCTGCTTGGCATCCAGAGCAGCACTAGGACTAAGGCTCACCTGGCAGCAAAACGAAAAAAAATCAGTATAGTTCCCAAAACATTCATCCATCAAGAAGTATACCCCAAAATTGTGTGTCTTTCTACCAAAGTACCACCAGATCTCCATAGTTTTTGTAAATGCTTGCCCAGGAAAAAGAGGCAGCCAGTCCACCACAAGTAGAATCTTTGGTATTCCATGAAAGACCATCACATGTAATTTCTAACTACTGTATTTTTACTACTGAGAAGGAAGATTTATTTCTTTACCCTATTTATATCCCGCCTTTCTCTACCCCAAAGGGGATGATGTTTGGAGGATTATTTACCTCAGGTGCCAAAAGAACTTGGTAATCCTTTGGCACTCAAAGGGCCCTTCCCACACAGCCCTATATCCCAGAATATCAAGGCAAACAATCCCACATTATCTGACTCAGAGAATCCAGTTCAGATTTTGTGCCTTGATATTCTGGGATATAGGGCTGTGCCTGTGTGGAAGGGCCCAGAGCCTTGACTTGGACAAAGGCAGGGGCTCTCAAACATTTTCAGCTGTGGAGGCCTTTTTGAAGCAAAAGTTTATAATGGAACCCCAATAAATGTTTCTACGTATGTAATATTATATATTAGGCATGGTCTGGGCCAGTGGCAGACAGATGGAGAGTGTTTGTGTAAACTAATTAACACAGTGCAAGAATAAATAAATAAATAAATAAATACAATATTTAAAATGAAGAACAATTTTAACCATTGTAAACTTAACAGCATTTCAGTGGAAGACTCCCAGGGCCATCCAGTCCAAGCCTCTTCTGCCATGCAGGAAAAACACAATCAAAGTACCCCCAACAGATGGCCATTTAGCTTTTGTAATAATAATAATAATAATAATAATAATAATAATAATAATAGCAAAAACTCCAGAAGAGGTGGGGCACCCACCGAGCCCCTGAGGAGCACCTCTCATGGAGCTCCAAGGGCATTGCTCTGCTAAAGCAGAAAAATATCTTAGGGCCCTTCCACACAGTCATATAACCCAGAATATCAAGGCAGAATAACCCACAATATCTGCTTTGAACTGGAATATCAGAGTCCACACTGACATATATCCCAGTTCAAAGCAGATAATGTAGGATTTTATTCAGCTGTGTAGAAGGGGCCTCAGGGCCCTTCCACACAGCCATATAATCCAGAATATCAAGGCAGAAAATCCCACAATATCTGCTTTGAACTGGGATATCTGAGTCCACACTGCCATATATTCCCATTCAAAGCAAATAATGTGGGATTTTCTTCCTTGATATTCTGGATTATATGGCTGCGTAGAAGTGCCCTTAGATGAGCCCTATGGAAGAAGTTCTGAATAATCACACAAGAGGAATTCTAGATGAAAAGTGGCATTTATATGCATTTCCCAAGTACAGAAGTAACTAGAAGTTAAGTTTTTAAAAAGCAGGAATAAGATCCAGAGCCTGAATGAGAAAAGACATTTGTAGCAAGCCTGAGTATCTTCCCAAATAATTTTCAATTAATTTGGCCTCCACTGTATAGGTAGGTAGTCTAGAGAATTTCTGCAGATCCCTCTTTGAGACAGTTCAAGCTTCCAGAAATCCATAGGTTCCTTGTACCTGATAGATGCTAGGAGAAAAAAGGCTTGGCGGATTGAAAAAAGTGGTCACGGGGCTGACATTCTGAATTACACGGGGCGTAATACTGGAGTTTGTACATTTGACAGTGAAGTTGGCCACAGTTGTCCCTGGAGCAGCACTGTCTTCCACTTCCACAGTTCGCAGGAGGTCACCAAACACTGCAACAGGAAAGGCAGCAGTGAGGGAATGTGGACCCCATAACATCAGTTGCTAGACAGGCATGTAGCATGGGGGGGGGGGGGGGTTTCGCAAAAAGGCCTTATTTAATTATTTAAAATGTGCATTATTTAAACTGTTATGTTTATTCATAACATGATCTGATCACCATACTCAATATATCCCATATGCATGGGGGTATTGGGGTAATGATACAAAAGGTTTGCTAGGCTAGACCCTCTTTCACTCAGACTCAGCCCCCCCCGAAACTCAGCCCCCCGAACCCCCCCTGAAAAAAATTCAGCCCCCCCCCCCCCCCGAAACGAAATCCTGGCTACGGGCCTGTTGCTAGAGCAGTGTTAGGCACCTTATATTGATATGAACATTGTCTCCATAAATATAGCATAACTAATGGTAGTGATACCCTACACTTCATGTTAGCATCATTAAGAAAAGGAAAACAGAAATGTGTGCGTTCAAAGACCATAAACTGAAATAAGATGTGCAGACATAAATAAACCTCTCACACACGCAAGCCTCTTTTCTGGTTGATGCAGGGGTTGGTATTCCCTTTCTTTCTCCATAGTGACCAACACCCACCCCCACCCAATATACCCTCTGAAGCCCATCCTCTCCCCTAGACATTCATACCTGCTAAGAGCCTTTTAAGAGCAGAAAAAAGTGGGATAACAGGGAATTAATCTGGGTCTTCCCTACTGCATTTTAGGGCCCTTCCACACCGCCATATAACCCAAAATATCAAGGCAGATAATCCACAATATCTGCTTTGAACTGAGTTATCCGAGTCCACGTTGCCATATAATCCAGTTCAATTTGGATTTTATACAGCTGTACAGATGGGGGCCATGAGCCCCATCTACACAGCCATATAATACAATTCAAAATTGCATTATATAGGTTTACACTTAGCATATAATGCAGTTCAAACTGTGTTATATGACAGTGTAGATCCTGTCAAAGCTGAATAGAATGAGAAGAATGGTCTGCACCCAGAAACACCTTTCTGCCAATCTCCATCTAATCTCACTAAGGATAAAACAACAGGACTGAGACCTCATCTACACTGCCATATAAAATCCAGATTATTTGCTTTGAATTGGATGATATGGCAGTGTAGACTCGTATAAGATGAATCTACACTGATATGGGAGAGGTATATGTGTTTGTATTATGTTTTAACTTGTGCATTTTATGTTTTAATGTTGATATTGTATGTTTATATGCTGCAAATCGCTTTGGCTGTGACTGTGGAGAAAGGTGGGGTAGAAATATCTTAAATAAATAAAGAAATAGATAATCTTGTTCCAATCAGATAATCTGAATTGACTGCTTTGATAATCTGTTTTATATGGCAGTGTAGATCCAGCCTGAGGTGCCTGTTTACCTCTAGACATTATCAGATTATTAGGCCCAATCTATGTTTCCCTATATTCCAGGATCTGATCCCAGATTCACTGATTTGAACTGGATTATATGAGTCTACACTGCCACATAATCTGGGATCAGATCCTGGGATATAAGGCAGAGTAGATCCAGCCTTAATTAGATCCAACCAATTCTGAAAGATCTTGAAAGTAGTAGTTCAGGCCATTTTTTACACTGACATATAATCAAGATTATTACAGATGATAATCCACATCAGGCCCATAGCCAGGATTTTGGATATTGATTTGAGGAGGGGTGAGTTTGATTGGGGGGGGGGGCTGAGGATCTACCCTAGCAAGCCTTTTGTATCATTATACCAATACCCCCATGCATATGGGATATATTGAGCATGGTAATCAGATCATGGTATGAATAAATATAAAAGTTTAACTAATGTATCAGTAAGGCCTTCTTGCGGACCACCCTGAGAATTTGGGGGGGGGGCTGAAGACCCTCGACACCCCCCCCCCCCGGCTACATGTCTGCTCTACATTGTCGGCTTTGAACTGGATTATATGAGTCTACACTGCCATATAATCCAGTTCAAAGTAGATAATCTGGATTTTATACGGCAGTATAGAAAGAACCTCAGTGTCGCAGACAATAACCTCTCCATACAGTGTTTATCAGGAAATACCACTGGGATAGACCCTTCTGTATGCAAAGAATGAACTCCATCAACAAGGTCTGGTCTCTGATGGCATATGGTTCTATTTGCATCTGGAAGGCACATGTTTCCCATTACAGGATAAAGAAATAATTGCCTTTTCCCTTCCAGGACTTTCTAAATTATAGCCCTTTCATCTTCTCTTTGAAATTTTGCCAGATGATAGCTCAAGTTCTAAACCCAGGAAGTAAATAAGAACGAATCCCTGGTTGATGTCTTCCTCAATTTTTTTTTAAAAAAGCCTCACCCAGCCCAAGGAAAGCCCAAAATGGAACATGTGATACCTGCTTAGGACCACACGCATGATGTTGTTTGGCCACATGTGTCCTACTAGTTTCTATCTGTGAAATGCTGGAGAGTCTGGAGTATGGATACAATCATCCAAGGTCTATTGAGGATTATGGGCAGCAGCTCCAAGACCTTGAATGGTTGTCCATCCCTGAAGTTCTGGTACTTCATATTGGGTTGAGTTTTTCATTTGGGATTTTCTCATTTCATATGGAATCATAGAGTGATGTGATGGTCAATGGGAAGAGAGCATCAAATATATGACAAAAGACATTACTAGGAAGAAGGTCAGTAAGGGAGCAGTCTGGAGGAGAATTTATGCGTTAGACCAATTTTATGGCATTGATTTTATTACATGGGCTCCATAAGTTCTTTCTTTGCTCTTTTAACTTGATTGTTTAACTATGCTGCTGCTGTCTGTGCTCTATAATTTGTTTTGTGAATTTTAAATTTGATTGCAAGCTGTCATGAAACCGAAGTTGAAAGGGCGAGCTGTATGTCTTTTTAATATACAAGCAAAGAAACAAACACATAAATAAGGGAAACCAAGGAGATGCCCAAATGAAAAATAAAAGGGAGGTTGACAAGACAATAAAAGGTATGAACACAAGCAGAATGGAAATGACACTGAAATTCAACAAGGTTCAGTGCATTTAGTACTTCTCACCTTTTTTTTTGTGTCAGGAGCAGCTTGACAAACTGCAAGTTGCTTCTGGTGTGAGAAAATTGGATGTCTGCAAGGACGTTGCCCGAATGTTTGATGTTTTACTCTCCTTGTGGGAGGCTTCTCTCATGTCCCCACATGGGGAGCTGGAGCTGACAGAGGGAGCTCAACCCGCTCTCTCCAATTCAAACTGCTGATCTGTTGGTCAGCAATTCTGCCAGCACAAGGGTTTAATCCATTGCGCGACTGGGGGCTCGTAATTCCCAGTTGATATAGGGGAACTGGCATTTTTCACCTATTATGCCAGGGACTGACACCATTTTTGCATCTGTTGGCACAAATTGTTTCTTTCTTTCCTGGAAATTCATCAAGGACCAGTAGTCAATGTCCAGGGGCGGCTCAACCCATTATGCAAAGTAAGCATTTGCAGTATAGTTGGTTTTGCCCAGGGGCGCTCTTGAGGCACTCTTGGGGGAAAATAGACCTTGACATATGGAAGTTGTAGTTACTGGGATGTATAGTTCACCTACAATCAAAGAGCATCCTGAACTCCACCAATGATGGAATTGAACCAAATATGGCACACAGAACTCCCACGACGAACAGAAAATATATATCAATGATTGGCTGGGGGGTGTGTGTGTGCCAAAATACTATTTGCTTACCATTGAAAATTACATAGGGCCGCCTCTGCCAATGTCTTGGGAAACTGTTTCACTGGCCCAGGGACCACTAGTTTCAGCACCACTGAGTTAACAATAGTATGCTATATGTTACCTGTAGTAGCTTGAGATAGGGAATTTATATTTTGCAGTTTTATGATTATTATTATGAATAATAATATTATTTTATTCATATTTTAAATATTTTTTCAAATTTGCAACCTGCCTTTTATTTCCCCATCTGAAACAAAAATTCTGCTTTCCATCTAAAGTAAAAAACTAAGTCAGGTCTTCCCTGTGGAACAATAATATTCTTTTTGCTGGAGAATGCCCCGCAAAGCTCTAACAGTAACCAGTTTTGACACTTTCTCAACACTTTGGAGCATTAGGCACATTGTGTGCCCACGTGGAGGCACATGTGTTCACATACACCTGGCAGACTATAACCCATATTTGCCTACATTAAGCACAGCTGGCTTTGTTTTCGCAGCTGTTTTGCACCAGAGCCTTGTGCTTGCACCGTACAGGTTTTCAGTTCTCCACCACTGATGACCAACTCTGTCAAGGAAGGCATTGTAGGTTTCCTTACCTATGACTCCTGTGGCTGGATCTAAAATTGGGGGAAAGAACATCAGAGAAAAGCTTGTTAGCATCTTCTTGGCACTGGTGAAACAAATAAGTAGACACCATCCAGTAAATAATACAAGTAACAAAAAACAAGAAACAAATTATTTCCTCAAATACGTGAGAGCTTAAACCGACGGGAGAACCTAAGAAGAAGCAGGTCTTAACTCCTTTATTAACAAAATGTGACATATGCTACTATATACATGTGTAAAGTAGCTCTTCGTTTGCAATATGGTCCTATTCAAAATAGTATTTATCAGGGAGAATGCATATGCACCACCTTGTACTCATTTATCAAACTCACTTTTGGAAGAAGTCTTTCCAACATTTCATGGTCTGAGGCAAACCTATCAGAGGGTTGTCTTGGTAAGATTTGATTTGCCCAAGGTCACCCATTGGGTTCCTATAGCTGAATGGGAATTTGAACCCTGGTCGCTAGAGTGATAGTCCAATGCTCAACCACTATGTCAAGCTTGTTCTCTCTATGGCCCCTTCCACACAGCTGTATAAAATCCACATTGAACTGGATATATGTCAGTGTGGACTCAGATAATCCAGTTCAAATCAGATATTGTGGATTATCTGCTTTAATATTCTGGATTATAGGGCCCTTCCATACAGTCATATAACCCAGAATATCAAGGCAGAAAATCCCACAATATCTGCTTTGAACTGGGTTATCTGAGTCCACACTGACATATATTCCAGTTCAAAGCAGAAAATGTGGGGTTTTATTCAGCTGTGTGGAAGGTGCCAAAGTACCTTTAGGTTTTCTCTCAGGACCCTTCTACATTGCCATATATTGCAAGTGATCAAAGCCGATAATCCACATTATGTGCTTGGAACTGGATTATCGGAGTCTACACTGACATATAATCCAGTTTGTAGCAGATAATCGGGCAGTGTAGGAAGGTCTCACAGGTAAAAGAGTACTTCAGGAGACCAATTCACTTCACAAAAATGGTCTTGATTCGTTTTGCTAGGGAAATTAAGCCACGGCTACAAAATCACAATTCTACACTGCCACATAAACTCCAGATTATCTGCTTTGAACTGTATTATATGGCAGTGTAGATTTATATAATTCAGTTCAAAGCAGATAATGTGGATTATCTGCTTTGATAATCTGGATTATATGACAGTGTAGAAGGGGTCCCAGTGCCATCTCTGCTTGGGTTGATGGGTAGAGGATGGAATCTCCTGTTTGAGTATTGTGAAGTAATATGTTCACATGGCATTAGAGCTGCCATCTCTTCCCCTTGTAACCCTTACCTGTCACACAGGTAGTGAAGATCAGCAAAAGAGACAGTGGCCACCCTGATCCCATGGTGCTGCGCCTGAAGCTGGAATTAATCTGTGTTTTGTGTACTTGCCTCCTTTAGTTGCCACAGCTGGGTTGCTAATGACACTAGGCAAGCCACAGCAGGGCTTCAAGGTTCGCATATGAGATCTGCCCAACCCTTTTCAATACATAGTGAGAAAACGAAACCCTGTGTGTGGTGGTGAGTGTGTAAATTTTCTGGGCTGTGCGGGAGGGGAAATGACACCAATGCAATTTCATGCCACTTTTAGGCTGCATGCAGATAATATGGGATCAGATCCTGGTTTATAGGGCAGTGTAGATCCAGTCTAGTGAGACATATCTACCTGTATGTTATGAAACAGGGCTGCCAGATTCAAACCCCCACTTCCCTTGCAGATGCCCGTTGGCCACTCATTGTCTTTCGGCCTGGAGGAACCAGCTGAAATAAGGGACAGGGATTTAAATGTTAGACTAGGATTCCGGAAGACCAGTATCTTGCCCCCATAAGTGACCTTGGGCAAGTCACACTCTCTCAGCCTCAGATGATGGTAACATGAAGTCCCCTCTGAACAAATCTACCAGGAAAATCCCATGGTAGGTCCACCTTAGAGTCCCCATTGAGGATGAGCTCACAGGCCCCCGCATTCAAGTTGATCTGAACCACAACAGAGAGTTCCGCAGTTCCTGGGACCATAGATTTGATGAAAGCCAAGGTACTGTGGTTCCAGCAGGAGCTTCAGCACCGGGACTTTTTCCTTTCCCTTTTCTCTTTTTTACTGAGCCTACCCTGTCCTTGTAACAATCCCCCAATAAAAGTATCCTTTGCTTGCAACTTTTTCTCTCCATAGTGATACATTATGTCTCTTTACTAATACTCTCCAACATGAACCTTTCCTTTCCGAACCGCAGATCACTGCCGGCTCGCCTGGGATGTTCTTACAGCATCCCATGGAGGCCAAAACTGTGTTCCTTTGAACAGCATCCCATTGGGGCCCCGTATCCGCAGGTCAACCGATTGGCTCCAAACCAGTGCCATCTTTTTCCTAGATTAATTTCAAGACTAACTACCATCTTACTCTTTGCATAACAGACCCCTATGCCTCGGGAAAACCATTTCTGGTCTCAAAGCCGCATGTGGGGACCAGCAAGTTTCTTTCATGGCTCCATGCTGCAACAGTGTTTGTGCCTCCATTTCATGTGCACCTGGAAACCTCTCGACCCCAGGGAAGTCCCTTGTGATCATCCCTTGGGACCCCCGGACTCCTGGCAGGCCGTTTTTGCATTTATGAATTGGGTCTGCAGTTTTTGTTTTATGAATGGACTTTGACCCCCTCAGTGCTCCCATTGGCTTCCATATGCTCCCCGTGGACTTTCATGAACTTCTCAAGGACTTTTATGAACTTTCTTAAACTTTCATAAACTTTTTGGGGACTTTTTTCAACTTTTAAGGACTTTTAGAATTTTCAGGAACTTCCATAGAATCTTTGTCAAACCCCTATGAACTGTTATGGACCTTTTTAAACAACTTCTGCAAGCTTTTATTAATTTTGATGAACTTTGGGGGGCTGGCATGATTTCCCCTGAGGCCCTGCATGATTTCCCCTCTCCTTATGAATTCATTGTATGTTCCCTTGCCCCATTCCCATCCCTTGTATGTATGTGTCTATATGAAATATGAAAGAAAAAGCCACTGTTTTCATGAAACCAGCACCTCATGGCTCCTGGAAGTTTCCCAATTTCCTGGGCCAGTAAATCCCTAAACAAAGGACTCAACAAAGACTCATTTGCATGGACAATAAATAGATGGCTCTTATCAGACCAGACCTCGGAGGGCAAAGCCAAGCCATTTGGGATGATAGGATCTATGGACATTTAAATCACTCAACACAAAGGGTATTTTCCTATTTAAGAGGAACCAGGAATTTCACCACAGTTTCTCCATTGTGTGATATCTTGACCAGCCGAAACCAACTTCAGCTTCATCAATGTACCCCATATTCCAGGACTGTAAAACAGAGGACCATGCTCCTTGGGAGCTAGATGAAGATGATGATTCAAAGGACTAACACAATAACTCAGATCCGACTTGAGGGCTTAAGCTATCGTTTGACCAATGTTTGTCCAATGATCAAACCATAAGCCATCATTGGATCATTGGACAAACATTGGTCACCTTAATCCTGTCACTCTACATATCTTGTTCATTGCCCCTCCCCCCCCCAGCATGCCTCCTGCCTCCTCATTGTCTAAGGAGCCAAAGTGGGACAAGCGCTCTGATTGGACAGAGCACAGCCTAGCCGATCGCGCCTCCCAGCCAGCTGATGTCACCAACCAATCAGCGTGAAGCCAACTCAGGGGGCAGGCACAGCAAATTTGAATTTGACAGCTCTGTATTTCCTATAAAAACGGTATTATTTTCCCCAACGAGTGATGTTGACTCCTGGGCAAATGATTGTGGTCACCATCTGTGGAATGAAATAAAAATCTCAGTGGCTTTCCTTCAACTTGGTGAGATTTATTGGGAAAATTAGGGAAAAATCTTTCTGGGTGTCTTCTCTCTCACCAGGTGTCCTCTTTTGGGGGTCTGGCTGGTGTCGGCCTTGTCAGAGCCTCCTAAATTCGTGTTCGACATCACCATAAGTTGGAAACAACTTGAAGGCACACAACAACATTATCAATGATGCTGTTCTGTGGTAGTTGTGTCAGCAGGTGATGCTTACATGACAAGCAACGCCAGGTGAAGTGTCCTCTTCTACACAGCCATTACAAGGACAGAAGCCTTATCCTTTATTTCACTTGGCAACTCTAGGCCCTGCCACACAGCCCTATATCCCAGAATATCAAGGCAGAAAATCCCACATGATCTGAGTGTGAACTCAGATAACACAGTTCAAAGCAGATATTGTGGGATTTTATGCCTTGATATTCTGGGATATAGGACTGCGTGGAAGTGTCCTCTGTTTCAGCCTAAGCTAATTTACATGGTTATGGTGAGGATAGAAAAGGTGGAAGGAGAATTCCCTGAAGGAAAAGCAGGATTTAAAACCAGGGAGAGCTCATGATGGGAATAAAAAAGGATCATATGCCAAAAAGATGTAACAGTGGCCCCTTTTTTCTGCTTTGAATCTGCTTTGAACTTGTTTATCTGCAGTGTAGACTCATATAATCCAGTTCAAAGTGGATTATGTGGATTATCTGCTTTGATAATCTGGATTATATGGCAGTACAGAAGGGGCCTGGGTCAGATACTTTGAATGGATACAGTGAGAGATTAATGGCACCGGTGACTAAAAGCTGCAATGCATAAATATAGTGTTCTTACCCAAGTTTACACCAGTAGTGATTTGCAGTTTCTCAAGTCGCTTCTGACATGGAAAAAAATCCCCCAAGCTTTCTTATCTTCTACTAATACATAGGCCCCTTCCACACAGCTGTATAAAACCCCACATTATTTGTTTTGTACTGGGCTATATGGCAGTGGGGATTAAAATAAACTAGTTCAAAGCAGATATTATGGATTACCTGCCTTGATATTTTGGGTTATATGGCTGTGTGAAAAGGCCCATAGCTTCTCAAGATAAAGAACAATAGGGCTGCCATTCTGGAGGGAAGTTCAGAAGGTGTTTCTTGTCACTCACTTGCTGAAATGCCATCTTCCTCCTCAAGCATTAAAGGCACAGAAGCTCATTCTGGACTCTTTCTTGTGTCTTTTTCCCTTCACCTGAACCAGGAACTGCTTGCACACATACATGCATATCAAAACTTGCCAAGTTATTTTGACATCTGAGGAAGGAAACCCCATAAGCACTGGCGTAATACTCTCTTTACAAAATACGTAACAAGACGTTCAGTAACTGTGAATGCATTGCCTTTTTTGAGATGAAAACATTCATCTCTGGACGTGTTCAGCTCCATTGCATCCCAGCTTCTGTTGGCTAGTCAAGAATTGCTATACGGTGGCCACAAGGGTGCACTCTTGTGTCATGCTACCATTATTTAACGCATGGGTTTTCAAAAGAAAACAGGCAAGCAGTTAAGCATGCTGCTCATCTTGGGGGCATCTACACCAGGCATGGGCAAACTTGGGCCCTCCAGGTGTTTTGGACTTCAACTCCCTCCATTCCTAACAGCATCAGGCCCTTTTCTTTCCCCCCTCAGTTACCTAAGCGGCTGAGGGGGAAAAGGAAGCGGCCTGAGGCTGTTAGGAGTGGTAGGAGTTGAAGTCCAAAACACCTGGAGGGCCCAAGTTTGCCTATGTCTGGGCTAGGGCCAGCAGGCAACTCAGCTACCAGGAGAGTCTGCCCACAACCTGTTGTATTCTAACTTTGGGTACTCGTGCTCCATGCAACTTCTCCATTTGGCTGCTAGTGATGCTCTCTCTCTCTGTGGAGCTGGGACTCTTTTTGGCAGAGAAGCCTAAATACCTTTTATAACTACAACTCCCATGATTCCATAGCATTGGGCCATGGCAGTTAAAGTGGTGTCAAACTGCATTAGTTTTACAATGCAGATATACCCAAGGTCACATAAGTGAAACTTTGCATGACAGTGGTTAACAACAGCAGTGGCAAAAGTTCAAAACATCTGGAGGGCCAAAATTGCTCCAATTCTGACATAAAGTCCTTCCAGACAGGCCCTATATCCCAGGATCTGATCCCAGGTTTTCTGTTTATCTGAGATTATCCGACAGTGTGGACTCATGTAATCCAGTTTAAAGCAGAAAACTTGGGATCAGATCCTGGGACATTGGGCCTGTCTGGAAAGACCCTTAGAAACGCAGTGATTCTGGAAATTTCAGGCTTTATTCTGGGGCTCATAGACTAAAAACATAGTACAGTCGAGTCTCGTTTATCCGACCTTTGCTTATCCGACATTCTGTCTTATCCAACGCTCTTATCTGGCGTCCCCTTTTCCTCCAGCATTTCCCCTTCAATTAAAAGAGTGCTCCCCAACTCTCTCCCCATTCCTAGTAAGTGAAAAAGGCAAGACAAGGAGGAGGAGGGAGAAAAGGGGGAAAAGATGCA